TCTATCTATCTATCTATCTATCTATCTATCTATCTATCTATCTATCTCATCTCTCATTTATCCATCCACCCATCCATCCGTCTCCATTTCTATGTCTGCCTGCCTGCCTATCATCTCCATATCTCCCTGCAGGGCCCAACCCCTTTTGGCCTCAAGGGTGGAATCCGTCTCCATCGTCCATCCTTGTGTGGCCACAATGGCAAGGCAGGATCCCAGTTGCACTGACAGGATTGGGGGAGGGGTCTCCTAGGGCCGCCATCCTGACTTTTCTGACCCCCCCTCCCCCCATGGACTTCCCTGCCACACAGGCCCCCAACTCAGCCGAGACGAAGCGTTCCTCCAGCACCCGGACTTGAAACCCACCGTGAAGTGACTCGGTTTCCCCCACCGTGAAGATCACGAGGGAGTTCTGGGCCGCCGGGTGCCTGGGCCGCCCCAACCAGCACCGGAGGCAGCAGCCCAGCAGGAACAGCAGCAGCAGCAGGAACAGGAGGGACAGGCAGAACCTGGAGGAGCAGGAGGGAGAAGAGGGTCCGTCATACCTGGGGTCCTCCCGCCCCCAAATAAAGCCCATTGACTAGGCTCCCCAACACACTGAACCCGGGCATCGATTGAATCCCAGTAGTCCTCAACATACGACCACAAATGGGACCAGAATTTATGTCGCTAAACAAGGCAGTGGCTAAGTGAACCACAGACTCGATTTTACAACCATTTCTGCCATGGTTGTTAACTGGATCATGCCGTCGTTAAACGGCACCCAGTTCTGTAAACTTTTGCGCCCTGGCTTGTTAAGCAAATCACTCTGGTTGTTAAGTGAATCACGCAGTCATTAAGTGGATCTGGCTTTGTGTCGGAATTTGGCTGGGAAGGTGGCATAAGGCGATCACGTGGACCCCCCCCGAGTTACGGCAACGGTTGTAAATAAATACCGGTTGCCAAACACCCAACAGGACTCGTGAGGATGTTGCAACGGTCATAAGTGCGAGGACAAGTCATAAGTCAATTTTCTTTCACCGCCGTTGTAACTTTGAATGGTTAAACCAGCGGTTGGAAGTTGAGAACCAGCTGTGTTAAGAACGGGGCAGCTGTATTGTGGTTAAGACTGATGCACATCATTGGTTATTTCGGGTTAATAATTGGTTAACTATGATTTATACTCATTTTAAACCTGTTGCTGTAAGGAAAAATGGCTTAGTGTGATTTTTGACTGGGGGTGGACATAAAAACAAGGAAGCCAGCCTAGATGTCCCCCTGTAGGTCAAAAAAGGCAAGATGGCAGCCACAAGCTCTGACAAGCTCCCTGCCTCCTTTTTCCATGCGTCAATCATACCATGTGAGGCCGATTAAATAGGAGGGCTTTCCTCTCAGCTGCCATTTTGAAGTTTTTGACCCTCGGCCACCCACAGATGCTGCACCCCGGACCCTCTGAACAAGGGGGGGGGCAGGGAATGGAGCAGTTGCCTTGGTCCCCTAGATGGAAATTCAAGAGGCTTAAAAGACGTTTCTCGCCTTGCGGCGAGAGAGCCAGGAATGGCTTAAATTCTGCTTTAAGGAAGTCAGAAAAAGTGTTTTATTTCTTCGTTGCCAACGTTTCACTGGATTACAGCAGCTGGCTGGGTACCAAGGGGGCCAAGTTTGGGTCCTTGGACAGGAGACCACAAGGTAATCTCAGAGTTATAGGTAAGACGTGAAAATTGAGAAAAACGCAGGAAAAACTCAGGTCTAGCAGTTTAAGGCAAAGCGGAGACGGCGAGTTCTAGTCCTGCCTTAGGCATGAAAGCTGGCTGGGTGACATTGGGCCAAACACCAGGAGACGGTGAGTTCTAGTCCTCCCCATAGGAGGAAGGAGTATTGGATATTCATTATTTCCAAAAATAATGAAGGCAGGATACAAATAAATAAAAATAGCAAATAATAAATAAAAATACCCTACCAAGCAAAGCAGCGGGGATCTTATCGTCTTGATCTTTGGAAAGTTTTGGCACTCACCAGAAATGCCAGGAAGGGAGGCTTTGCTCACCGCCACCAACGCAGCTGCAAATTTTTTACAAAAAAATGGAGTTACTGCATTGCAAGGACAGCCAGCTCTGTTTCCTGGCAGGTGAGCATCTTAGGAAGCAACTGGATTTTCACACACACACACACACACAAACACACACACACACACCTCCAACCATAGACCATTTCACAGTAACTAACCCTATTAACACAGTTAATGAACACAGTTAATAATTAATTGTGTAACACGGTCGTTAAGTGAATCCGGCTTGGTTGGTCCGAAGGTCGCAAAAGGGCATCGTGTGAACCTCGGGATGCCACAACCGTCATAAGTACATGCCAGTTGCGAAGCATTCGAATTTTGATCATGTGACCGTGGGGATGTGGCAAAGTTGGTGTGAAAAACGGTCACTGTTTTCAGTGGCGTCGTAACTTTGAACGGTCACTAAATGAGAGGTTGTAAGTCGAGGACTCCCTGTAAAATGAAGCCAAGTGGCTTTGCATGGATGGACACAGGTTGGCGTGCCGTCTGGGCAATGGACACCCTCCACCATCAATGGGGCAGGCCGGGTTTTTGTAGTCCTTCGGACCTTCTATCCGTGTCTTTGCAGCTCATCTTCGTTTTAATGGATGCTTTTCCAGGGAGATCCTCGACTTACGACCGTGGTTGAGTTCCAAATTTCTGTTGCCAACTGAAACGGTTGTTAACTGAATTTTGCCCTGTTTTACGACCTTTCTCGCAACCGTGGTTAAGCGAATCACTGAGGCCGTTCAGTTAGTAAGACAGTTTATTGAGTGACTCCGGCTTCCCCAATGGGTGTGAGAAGGTCAAAAAAAAAAGGGGATCACATGATCCCAGAAACACTGCGACCGTCGTAAATACAGATCAGTTGCCGAGCGTCTGAATTTTGATCCCCCGACCAGAGGGATGCTGCCACGGTCGTAAGTATGGAAAATGATCCTCAATCACTAAGCCTAGAAGGACCCTCCTGGCTACTCAGTGACCCCTGAGCCAGATGGACATTAGCTTCAGCCCACCCACCCCACAGAAAGGGCAGGACCAGGACCCAAGCAGCCCTAGCCGTCCCCCCCCCCCCCCCCCATGAACCCCCCTCCGGCCACTAAGAAGCGATGCTAGCAAGGAACGTTGGCTCACCTTTCGGAGAATTCGCAGCCCATGGCTCGCCTGGCAGGCTGAAATACAGAGGGTGGGGAGGGGGGGTCAGATGAGGTTGAGAAGGAAGGCAAGGCCCCCTTTCCCAGCTGACCCTCACTCTGTGCTATCTATCTGTCATCTATATTCATTCTCTCTCTCTCTTTCTCTCTAGCTCTATCTATCTATCTACCTATCTACCTACCTCTATCTATCTGTCTCTGTCTGTCTGTCTGTCTGTCTGTCTATCAATCTATCTATCTATCTATCTATCTATCTATCTATCTATCTACCTACCTACCTACCTACCACTATCTATCTACCTACCTATCTACTACGTCTGTCTGTCTGTCTCTCTCTCTCTATCTATCATCTATCATCTATCTATCTCATCTATCTGTCTATCTGTCTATCTATCTATCTATCTAGAGCGAGAATTGAATAGAATAGAGGAGAGGAGAGAGAATAGAATAGAACAGAATAGAATAGAATCATGGAGGACTTCTAGTCCAACTCCCTGCTTGAACAGAGACCCTATACCATTTCAGACAAGTGGTTGTCCAATCTCCTCTTGAAAACTTCCAGTGATAGAGCACCCACAACTTCTTGTAGCAAGCAGTTCCATTGATTAAGTTACTGTCAGGAAGTTTCTCCTTAATTCCAGGTTGCTTCTCTCCTTGGTTAATTTCCATCCATTGCTTCTTGTCCTGCCCTCAGGTGCTTTGGAGAATATGTCTATCATCTTCTTATCTGTCTGTCCATCCATCCATCCATCCATCCATTTTTCCACCAATCATCTACTCATGCATCCATTCAATCTCCAGGCTTTTCTTAAAAAATGCAAAATGCAAAAATGAATGCAGTCGATTCCCACTCTCGGTCAGCAGGGGGCAGTGTTTAGCTTCCGAACCAACTTTGCCTGGAAACTAAGCATCTATAGAGCCTGCTAGCATTTGGACGAGAGACCACAAGGAGATCCCTGGAATAAGTTCAGGCAAGAGATCCTGAAGACTCCAGGAGTTCAGCTTCATTCAATGGCCTCCATAGAACAACGATGGCTGGAGACCATCAAAGCGGACAATAACCAGAGCATAGGAAATCTCAAAGAAGCAGGGCAAGATCAGAAGAGGTGGAAAGAGGTCGCCATGCCAAGTCCTCCTGTGGCTTCTCTTCTTCCGTCTTCCCCCAACCCTTTCTCTCCGTGAGCTGAAGATGCAAACGGCGTTCCTGCTATTTGTCCGCCCAGAGATAGACTGCCTCTGTCCATGGAGGCTCTCTTTAGCAGTCATGAGAAACCTCGGAGCTGATGCTTCCCCTGTTTGAGGGGCTGGCCTTCCTTCTTCAAGGGGCAGGTGGGCAGCAGCTTCGCAAGGCTGATGCATTGGACCGCTGACAGGTAAAGGCCCTGCGATGGGCAGTTCCCGGCTGATGAAACGCAAGTCCTGGGACGCTGAAGAATGCCGTTGAGTGAAGCCCAGCCTCTGGTCTTGGCCAACACCTGCCGGAGTCTCCTTGGCTCTCACGGCTCTCCATCTTGAAGTCTGGAGCCTGCATTCCTTCTCACTCTTTCCCCCCCCCCCCCATGTCCTTTGGCAAGTTGAGAAGCAATAACGGTTGCAACAACATAAGCAGACTTCCAGCTGAACACTTTGCTTTTCCACATTTGTCTCGTGTTCAGCATTGTTGTGTGACCCCCTGCAATCCGAGGTTTTATTTCAGGGCCGCCTTCACTGCTTTGAGCGATCTACGTCCCTAGGAAGGGGAGTTTTTCCACGCATTCTGTCCCTTCACTGTCAATTGATATTTCAATGTTTTATTCCTTGCAGTGGTCATGAGTATCTTGTTTTGGACATGTGGCGCTCCAAATGCATCACTGTGGGCCTCCTTATGTTGATTCTTTGCCCATCCTCTAGTACTGCTCTGAGGAAGGAGGACGCTTCCAGATTCCTGAGTCAATTTTTACCTGGTACCACAGAGGTCTTTGCAAGCCAGGCCAGTGTTCCCCAGTGTGGAGCCAGCCTGGGAACTGGGCATTGCTGGTCAAGGACAGGAGTCCTGCACAAGATCCTTCCTTCCCCCTTGGGTCAGGAGGAGCCCCTCATCCTTGCACAGAGGAGGGGAGGGGAGGGGAGGGGAGGGAAGGGAGGAGGGAGGGAGGGAAAGGGAAGGGGGGAGGGGAAGGGGAGGGGGAGGGGGGAGTGTAGGAGGAGAAATGGGAGGGAGGGAGGGAGATGGGAGGGAGGAAAAAGAAAAAGGACAAGGACAAAGGGGGAAAGGGGGAAGAAAGGAAAGGAAAGGGGGAGGGGATGGGAGGGAAGGAGAAAAGGAAAAAGGACAAGGACAAAGGGGGGAAGGGGGAAGAAAGGAAAGGAAAGGAAAGGAAAGGAAAGGAAAGGAAAGGAAAGGAAAGGAAAGGAAAGGAAAGGAAAGGAAAGGAAGAGGGAAAGGAAGGGAAGGGAAGGGAAGGGAAGGGAAGGGAAGGGAAGGGAAGGGAAGGGAAGGGAAGGGAAGGGAAGGGAAGGGAAGGGAAGGGAAGGAAAGGAAAGGAAAGGAAAGGAAAGAAAAGAAAAGAAAAGAAAAGAAAAGAAAAGAAAAGAAAAGAAAAGAAAGGAAAGGAAAGGAAAGGAAAGTCTCCATTTATGTACACACAACTCTGGAACAACAAACCATGTTTTGGCTTAACATGAAAACTTGATGGTGTGGATCTGCTAAGCACAGGCCGGGAACCCACAACACAGCTCCCCCACCCTCCTTTTAGCCTACACCAAAGTTTCTCAATCTTTAAGATGGTTGGACTTCAACTCCCAGAATTCCCCAACCATCCATGCTGGGAGTCAAAAGCCCCCACACTGGGAAATCTGGATGAGCACGGAAACCAAGATCAAAGTTAACTACACCCAGGAGCATCTCGGAAGAAGAGATTACCTGGACGAACATGAGGCTGAAGAGATCTCCAGATTGCAAAGACCAGCAAGAAGGACCGTTTGGGTTGGACGATCCCCGTGGGTTTCAAGAGGCGGCTTTGCGAATGGCGTACCGGTCTTCTGCGGTGGGTGCCTTACAGAGGGTAAGAACACACCTTGTGAGGCAGACTAAATAGGGAAAATCCCAGGCCCAGGTGAGATCAGCATCGAAATCCAAACGGGATGGAGTTTGGATTGGAAGGAAACGGCGAACGTCGCTTATTGCAGGTTGCAACTTTCTGTCTGCGGCAGCGTCCTCCAGGAGGGGCATCCTAAAGCAACTCTACATTTTGGCAGGAAAATTAAGCTGGGTTGGGAAGTTCTCCTCCCCTTCCCTGCCTGGATTTCATTGGAAAGTTTCCCGTAACCTCTGCGACGGCACAACCTCCCAACAGCACCGTGTTCGACAGAGGTTATTATGAGAGTTTTGCAAGGGTTACAAGGAGTTTGGGCTGCGTAACCATCCTCCGCTCCTGGTTCTTGCAAATGTAACATTAATAGTCTCCCCAACACCTCCAGGTAAATATTAAGCAGGAACAACGGCAGGCGTCAGCCAATGATTGACTAAGGGCCATAAAGCCAGGGGAAATATTGCTTGGGTGAGGATGGCTGAGGGGAGAAGGCTACGTGCCCAACTGCTCCCTGATTTTCTCCCTTCATTACACCAAACCATTCAGAAACTCTCATCAAACTTTGAGGATCATTGAATCATAGCATCACAGGGCTGTCAGGGACCATGGAGGTCATCTAGTTCAACTCAAGGCAGGAGTCCTTATGCCATCCTAGAAAATGGACGTCCAGTCTTTTCTTGAAAACCTCCAGTGATGGAGCACCTACAACGTCTGAAGGCAAACTGTTCCATCTGTCCATCTGTCCATCCATCCATCCATCCTTGTCTGTCTGTCTGTCTCTCTATCTATTAGTTCTATCATGTATAACTATTTAACCATCCATCCATCATCCATCCATCCATCCATCCATCTATCTATCTATCTATCTATCTATCTATCTATCTATCTATCTATCTATCTATTTATCTAACTATCTATCTATATCTAATCTCTATTTATCATCCATCTCTATCTATCTATCTATCTATCTATCATCCATCTATATCTATCTATCTATATCTATTTATCATCCATCTATATCTATCTATCTATCTATCTATCTATCTATCTATCTATCTATCTATCTACCTATCTTCTTCTATCTATCATACAGCATCTATCATCTCTCTCTCTCTCCTTATCTTGTCTTGTCTGTCCATTAAATGTGTCTGTCTATCTCCTAGAATCATAGGACTGGAAGGGACCTTGGAGGTCTTCTAGTCCAATCCTGCTCAAGCAGGAGACCCTACACCGTTTCAGACAAATGGTCATCCAATCTTTTTTAAAAAAGCTCCAGTGATGGAGCACCCACAACCTCTGGAGGCAACTTCTGTCCCACTGGTTCATTGTCCTCACTGTCAGGAAATTTCTGCTTATTTCCACCTTGAATCTCCTTCTGCCCAGCTTCCAGCCGTTGCTTCCTGCCCTGCCCTCGGGTGCTACGGCCTTCTTCCTGTGGCAGCCGTGTTGTAAGTCCCTTCCTTCAGGACGGTTGTAACTTCAAACGGTCCCCGAACAAATGACAGCAATTCAAGGACAATCTGTGGTGTAAAAAACAGTATCGTTGACTGATCTTTACCTCACAAATTGCCTCACGAACGTTCCTCTTAATAGGAATACTTTGGGAGATTTATGTAGCATATTTTAGGAGATGTGGTAAGATTGAAATTAGTTTGAATGTCTCTGTAGTGATGGATCAGGGGTTTGTGTGTCGTTACCCAAAGACAAATCACTTTTACCCAATTTGGGGTAAATTATCCAGGTTTGGGAAGCGCTGTTCTACTCCATACTGTGAAACATGGGTCACTATTTCAAGAAAAACCCCTTGCAATCCTTTCAAGCAAATTTCTTTATTGTCCCTCACCCACAGACAGAATCTTGCCAAACTAAAACTGGATCTCACCCGCATAAAGCAAAGACTCTGGGAACTGTTCAGGAGGAGCCACCTTCACCCCTCTTTCTCCCACACAAGCTCTCTGAGCTGTCTCCTCTGCAATGCAGCCCCTCCCTCCCTCCCTCCCTCCTGGGAATCCAGACTACATTCTACCACAGGATTCTGGAATCGGACTTCTTGGCGCACCTTACCTATTTTTATTTTTACCTTGCTAAAAACCTGGATTGGTTAGGCATCCAAGAAATTCAAAACAATCAGAGAAAGAGAGAGAGAGAGGGAAAGAGATGACACACACACACACACGACATAGAAAAACAGACAGAAAGAGAGAAATAGAGGAGAGAGATGGAGAGAAAGACACAGAGAGAAAGAGAGTAAGAGAGAGACATAGAGAGAGAAACACACACAGAGAGAAAAACACAGAAAGAGAAAGTAAGAGATAGAGAGAGTGAGTGAGTGTGAGAGAGAGAGACAGAGAGAAAAAGACAGAGAGAGAGAAACAGAGAGAGAGAGAGAGAGAAACAGAGAAAGCGAGAAAGTGTGTGTGCATGAGAGAGAGAGAAAGAGAGAGACAGAAAGAGAGGGAAAGAGATGAGATACACAGACACACACAAGACATAGAGAAAGAGAGACAGAAAGAGAGAGAGACAGAGAAAGACAGAGGGAGAAAGAAAAATAGAGTGAGTAAGGGAGAGACACATAGAGAGAGAAACACACACAGAGAGAAAAAACAAAGAGAAAGAAAGAGAGGGAGAGAGAGGGAGAGAGAGAGACAGAGACAGGAAAAGAGAAACAGAAAGCGAGAAAGTGTGTGTGCATGAGAGAGAGAGAGAAAGAAAGAGAATGAAAGAGGGACACAGATAAAAAAGTTTGTGTGTGAGAGAGAGGGACAGAAAGAGAAAGAGACAGAGAGTGTGTGTGTGTGAGAGAGAGAGAGTGAGAAAGAGAGCGAGACAAAGAGACAGAGAGACAGAAAGGAAAAGAGAGAGAGAAAGTGTGTGTGTGAAAGAGAGTGAAAGAGAGAAAGAGCGATAAAAAGAGATCTGTATCCCCTCCAATATGAAACACTTCCATGGGGAAAAAATAGAATTGTCCTTTATTATTATTATTATTCTATTACAAATTTGCACACACAACTTTTAGTGATGGTGTGTTTACTCCTAAAATACGTATTTGAGTTTAACACACACACACACATGAAACTTTAGATGGAAAAAAATCCTTCTCGTATTACCATCTATTCAATGGCCCGCTGGGCACTGTTCTGTTTTAAAAGTAAAATATGTTGGAGAAAAGAGGAAAATCTTCCAGGTAAAAAACAGTTTGAAGGTCATTTGGGGCTTCCTTTCCTTTTTCTGACCTTGCAAAGCGGAGAACCACAACGCAAAGCCCCCCTCCCACCTGCCCCAGGTTCTTCTGCAAAAATGAAAATGAAACAGAAGCGAATTCCCCCCAATCCCTCACGTAGATGGAAACGGGCATTCTTTGCAGCAAATGCATAGAGATACCCCTATGCGCCACCGTGGATGCAAAATTTGCAGAGTAGTCTTTCCATGCCTTATGTCTGCAACAAGGCATCCCAAACAATAAAACTCCTGGCGCACAAAAGAGATTTTTGCAGACTGACATGGAGAGATAGGTAGTTTTGCAGCAAAAGAAAAAAATTCCAGAGAGGCAGAAACACACATTCCTGCTATTTCTTGGCATCCAGCCTTCTCCGTATGTTGACGCTCCAAGGTTTGGGCCCCATGCTTACCAAGTCAATAGATCAAGGCCAGAGTTGTGCTCGTGTCAGGACGCCGTCACACCTGTGAATTGTCACTCCCAGCTTCCCCAGCTGCAGCTCCGGCGCCCTAAGAGGGAGCTGCAAAGGTGGCAAGCCGCCATTCCCCTTGGGAGACCCAGAAGAGGCCAGGAGAGGACTTGAAACAATTTATGTCTAGGATGCGAGGGGTCTGTAAATATTTTCACAGCCTTCTTTTTGACTCGTTTATTAGACAGGTCCTCAATGGAAGGCAGGTTGGGAGCCATGGTTTTTTCTGCAGAATGAAGTGCGAAGAAAAGCAATTAAGATGATGAAAGGCCTGGAGGCTAAAACATACGAAGAACGGTTGCAGGATTTGGGTTTGTCCAGTCTAGAGGAAAGAAGGACTGGGTGGGGGGGACAGGATAGCAGTCTCCCAGTATTTGAGGGGCTGCCCCAAAAAAGAGGGGGACAGTCTATTCTCCAAAGCATCAGAAGGCAAGAAAAAGAAACAGATGGAAACTAATCAAGGAGAGAAGCAACCTGGAATTAAGGAGAAACTGCCTAACAGTGAGGATAAATAACCAGTGGAACAGCTCGCCACCAGAAGTTGTGGGTGCTTCTGTTAGGTGTTTTTGTACCAGCCATGGCAGTTTCTTCAAAGGCCACCAGATGGGAGCAAAGAGGCACCTTTGGTGCCTCTTTGCTCCCATCTGGTGGCCTTTGAAGAAACTGCCATGGCTGGCACAAAAACACCTGACAGCTTCATCACTGGGGCTCTTCTTCTGCAAGATATCATGGCCATCTGGATTGCCAGTCATTGAATCATCGAATAACAGAGCTGGAAAGGACCTCAGAGGTCTTCTAGTCCAACCCCCTGCTAAGGCAGGAGACCCTATACTATTCCAGACAAGGGGCTTTTTAGAAACCTTCTTTTAAAAAAGGGGGGGAGGAGAGAGGGAGGGAGGGAGGGAGGGAGGAAAGAAGAAAGGAAGGAAGGAAGGAAGGAAGGAAGGAAGAAGGAAGGAAGGAAGGAAGGAAGGAAGGAAGGAAGGAAGGAAGGAAGGAAGGAATAACAGAGTTGGAAGGGACCTTGGAGGTCTTCTAGTCCAGCTCCCAGCTCAAGCAGGAGACCTTATACCATTTCAGACAAATGGTTGTCCAATCTCTTCTTGAAATCCTTTAGTGTTGGAATACCCACAATTTCTGGTGGCAAGCAGTTCCACTGTTTAATCGTCCTCACTGACAGGAAATTTCTCCTTAGTTCTAAGTTGCTTCTCTCCTTGATGAGTTTCCTTCTGTTGCTTCTTGTCCTGCCTTCTTTGGTGCTTTGGAGAATAGGTTGACTGCCTCTTCTTTGGGGCAGCCCCTGAGATATTGGAAGACTGC